TTTAGGACATGAAATTGATCAAGGAACTATTATTCCTATTCAAAGAAGTATTAAATTTGCTTCTAAGTTCCCTGATATCATTACTGATAAAAAATAATTACAAAGATTTCTTGGTAGTCTTAATTATATTTCTGATTACGATACTAGTATACTACATGGTAGGCTTAGAAAAAATCCTGGTCCTTGGACTGATAAACATTCTCAAGCAGTCTGAAGTATTAAAAACAAGGTTAAATGTTTGCCTTGTTATCTATGACTAATCCCAAGTATTTTAAAATCGTTGAAACTGATGCTTCAGATTTAGGATATGGAGGAATTCTAAAACAGGTTATACCTGAAACATCCAAAGAAGTTTTCGTTAGGTTTACCTCTGATAAATGGAATCCTACTCAGTCAAAATATTCGACCATCAAAAAAGAAACGCTTTCTATTATAAAATGTGTTTCAAAATTTCAAGATGATTTACTTAATAAATTTTTTTTATTACAAATTGATTGCAACTCTGCCAAATCAATTATTGAAAAAGATGTTAAAAATTTTGTCGCAAAACAAATATTTGCTAGTTGGCAATCTCAACTATCAATGTTTGAATTTGATATTAAACATATTAAAGGTGAAAATAATTCACTTTCTGATTACCTCACCCGTGAATTTTTGCAGGGAAAGAATGACACCCCCATCTAGGGGAGGAAGAGGTCGCGGTTATGGACGAGGGCTTGGAAGAGAGGGTAACAATATGTTACCCCAAAGTGAATTAAACATTCCCCTTATAGGGGATTGGACTACAATCTATAAAGGTAGAAATATGCAGCAATTACCTACCTCAAAAAAGGAAGATATACCTTCTTCTTCATCTTCTAAAAAGATTATATCTTACAAAGAAATTACGGTCAATGACCCCCCTCAAGAACAAGTAACTGATTATTTTGAGAATCCAGTTACAGAAAAAAATATGTATATTGATGATGAGGATATAAAAATAAATCCAAATGATGGATGGGTTATCAAAACAAGATACCTCGAATCAAGAGGATATCCAGGCCTTCATGGTAAATCAAGACCACATTTAGAAATACTACTAGCAGTTACTGAATCAGCAACTTTTACTCATCTTTATCAAAACAACAATCCTGAAAGTTTCATAAACTTCAGCAAATGCCACATTAATAAGATCTTATCACCTAGAGAATGGGGTCTTAACCCTAATGGTGAAAAGGCAATAAGAATTGTCGAAGGAAAATATATTTATTTCAATTATTGGGACTATGTCCAGGCTTTCATCCAAGCCTTTTATTACCAAAATCCTAAGAACAAACATTTTCTGGTTTTTCTCAATTAATTCAGATGTGATTAATAGACCCATTCCAAATTGGTTTTATGCCTGGTGGATTAAATTTGGTCCTACGCTAGAAATTTTGCCAAAAGAGTTAAATGAATTGTATACTCCTTGGTGCGAAAATAGTCCACTAGTATTAAATATTTTATCAAATTTGATAACTGGACAATGTCCATTTCTTTTCTTCACTAAGTTTCAAATTCCTTGGATTTGGAGATGGACTATCACTATTTCCAGTGACAAATTTAATGTGCCAATTTTAGAAAGAAATTTTTTTTATAAATGGTGGAATAAAATGAGTTTAGAAGACATCCAGGACAAAATTGTTCTAATCAAATCAGCCATGATTAAAGACAAAAATAACAATGTTAAAGATCAAAACTCCCAACAAATATCTATGGGAAACCTGAAAAACTTTTTTCAAAGAAAGTATCCCAATGAAACAGAAGAAGAAATTATGGTCAGAACTTTAGATCATATGAAGACTCAATTCTTCTACACTTTCCAATCTCAAACTTCAAAAGATGATATGCAATCCATGAAGACTAGTTCATCCATGGGATCAATATATTCCAACACCTTTGAAGGTTTAGCTGGAGAAGCTCAAAATGATGATCCCACAGCTGAAGACTTCTGGGATGCTATGATTCAATCTATGACCCAAAAGGCTAAAGAAAAGGCCAAGGCTAAAGCTATGACAAGAGACTAAGCAATGACAAGAATTGTCCATAAACAATAATGGCAAACACAAAGATAAGACAGAATCTTAACTTGAAACAATAAAAGAATCTTATTGGAAATAAAGCTATGACAAGAGACAAAGCAATGACAAGAATTGTCCAGAAGCAATAATTCCAAAAATAAAGATAAGAGAGAATCTTATCTTGAAAAGAATTTGTTGTCTATTTTGTTGTTTATGAATTATTTTTATGTCGATGGGGCCCATTGTGTACCCGACATTAATAATTCATCTTTGTTTGTGGTAACTGGCTATCATAGGTAGCTATTACCGGCTTAAATAGTAAGCCTTTGTATCCCTATATAAAGGAATTTTTATTTCTTTTGTAAGCACGCAATTTTAATACAAAAGTTTTATATATGCTTTACTTTCTTTCTAAATACTTATAATTTCGGTCCTGATTCCGCTGTCAAGACCAATTTCTAATATATATATATATATATATATATATATATATATATATATATATATATATATATATATATATATATATATATATATATATATATATATATATATATATATATATATATATATATATATATATATATATATATATATATATATATATATATATATATATATATATATATATATATATATTAGAATGGTGATTAACCATAATTTAAACTAATTATTAAATGAATTAGTTATATAAAAAATAATAATATTTAATATATTTATCCAATCACTAATATCATGTAATTAAAAAAATAATTTAATCTCAATTATCAATTCCACTTATGTATAATTGGAGGAAACCATGAATTTAGGGACCAATTATCAATTCCAAGTAATATAAAATTTAGGGATGAGAAAACTAAATTTTAAAATAGAGAATTTAAAAATTAAAAAACTCAAAAATAGGTAGAGCAAATATACATTTAAGTCAAAATTAAATTGTATTAAAGAAGTTTGAAGAGTTTTGAAGAACTAAGATAAATTTGTCAAATATAATCTATATTACACTATTCCAAAAATTAAAAATGTTAATAATAAATATTTTATTATTCTATATAAAGTCATGCTTTTACCGTTGCTCCCTTCACTTTCCCTCCTAACTTGCAAACAAAGCCAAAAGTTTAAAATTTAGTTTTTTTTAAATTCCACAATAATTATTATACTAATCAATTGTTCTGAGCCCTCGAGCTATTTGATGGAATTATTTCATTCAAAACTTCGCAAAGCTTTATTTTAGTAATGATGTTCTGTTAATTGATCGCATATGAATGTATAATATAAAAAAATATGAATGTATAAAATACAACAAAAAAGAAACCATATATTGGTAAATACAACAAACTAATGAACACGAAAAAATATATTGAAAAAAGAAAAACAGGAAGTTTCCATCTTCGATTGAGAGCCATGATGATATTAGCATAAATCAGTTAAAGTGTAGAAGAATTCTTCATGAAATAAATTTTCACCGTGGTTCAGCTGGTAATCTTATTCTTTGATAGTTCAACAACAAAATAATGGACCAGACCTCAAGAAATCGTATCTTTGGGCTAAAAACAGCCTTGGTAGTCCATTCACTTTTTCCTATATTCAATGGGACAAACTTGCTCCAATCTCTTTATAACTGCAATCACGGGACAAAGTAGAGTTCAGTAAAGTTATCTTGAGTTACAAATTCTTAGGGTAATATGTTCCACATCAATACAGATAATTTTCTAGAACATGAACTTGATATCACTTTGGTAGAAAAAAGTTCAACATAATACAAATAATTTTTTCTTTACTGTTCCTTCTACTTTTCTGGTACATATTAAACTGCCACACGTGGAGGAACAAGCGAAGTAATCAACAGATAAAAGGAGCATTAATTGCTGCACTATTTTACCAGCTTTATCAATACATAAATACATAGAATGAGTTGGTTTGGAAGCTGCAAAACTAAATTAATACTTAGTGGGTTCATCTGGTTTTCTATAATCCTCCAAAGTTTGTGGGACATTATGATGTCATGAGGGACCTACCCTATAGGGAATGAAAGTGAAAATAACTGTAATGGATTCTTGATAGAATTACCTACTAGAATCACTAAACAACATGGGCAGAGTGTATTAAAGTCAAAATCCATTGGGAAGGGTAGTCAACAACAGAAGAGACTGGATACAAGTCAGTTCTGGAATTAAGATTGTAGCTTTACGGACAAGATTGAAATTCAAGCAGGTCGCAATCATAATATCCATGTGGAGGAAATTCCCAAACAGGGAACATATGAGCAGCGGAAAAGGCCCTAAGAATGGGGTGGAAATGGTAAGAACATAAATAAAGGGGATTGGGCTAATTCTCAGGCGAGTTACCCCTTAAGGGAAGAACAGATGCATATGAAGGAGGTTGTAACCAGAGGACTAAGGCGAAGAGAACAAATGGTGCTTTAAGCATTTTACAACTTCTCAGCTAGGCAAGGAGTGCAAAATCTCTTAAATAACTTAGTTACAAATTTCAGGGAAAACTACTTCAGAATATTAGAAAAGGATTTAATTCATTTACATCATTAGTGTAAAAGATTTTACACTGTCAGTCGATCACAACCGTTAGATTTTTAAAAATGTTTGACTTTTATCAAAACTACCTCTAAAGTCATACCCATGAATGGTTGTGATGTGCAGACAGTATAAAACTTCTTACACTGATGGTGCATGACAAATAAACTTATTAGAAAAATACCCAATGAGCATCTCGGCCAACTGTTTCTGCTCCTCCTTTGCGTATATAGCGTATATAAGTAGCAGTAAAAACAAAAGAAAGAGAAGAGCTAGAAACTACAAGATAGGTTTGGTTAAAGAGAATTAGTAATAATTCAGATGTGTACCTTGTACTGTACATGGTCCAAAAGGATGAAGAATAGAGCAATTAGAAGAATTTGTCTTTTGGCAAGTTGAATTCACTCAAGTTTGAACTTTGAACACGCCATCAGCTCAACATTTTGTTAATGAAGACAAGGACTAATAACAGCATAGATAGTTCCAGCATAAACTTTGGACTCGTCGAATATTCAAGAATTTGCTGCCACCTGTAAGTTCAACCAGTAGATAGCTGCTGGTAAAGCCTGTATTTTGGATCTCCATTACAACATGATTTGACTAGAATACATGAGTAAATAACATTACTAAACTAAAATTCAGCAAGCATGACAATGAGGATTTTAACTAGCCAGTTTAGATAAAATTCACAGGCACTTGTAGAAACAGTGCTATAAAAGAATCAAGCAATAACTACAAGTTTTTTAATTAGCTTTTTCATAATTTGAAATTAGCTTTTGCATTTCTATTTTTATAAAAGCACTTCCATTTAACTAATTCATAAACACGTGCAAGTTTATTTGAAGACTTTTTCGCAGGTGAAAATCATAGTTATTTTAATTCAAAAGCTCCCATAAGTTAGAAGCTAAATCTAACTAGCATTACATTTGGTATATGGGTCTTTTAATACATATAGATAGACAAGTATTCTAAAAGACATTGGAATATGTAAACAAAATAAATATGTATTCATCATTCTATTATCACTATTGAATTAGAAGAGACATTTAGGTTAAACCATGTGTTTTGAAAAGCACTACAGAGACTTTATTATATATAGAGAGATTACAACTAATGCTATGATACAGTTAATGTGGGACTATTCTACATACAAATATTCTTAATATATATATAAGTCAAATGCACCAAACTTGCCACATATATAATTAGTTCTGGGACTTCGCAGAGATTTTGTAAACACATCTGTCAATTAATCATTCGAGTTGACAAAGCTTGTGGTGATGTCGTCTGACTCGATCTTCTCTCTGACAAAGTGACAGTCAATCTCAATATGTTTGGTCCACTCATGGAAGACCGGATTTGAAGCAATGTTCAATGCAGCTTGATTATCACAAATAAGTGTCATTGGTCTTGCTTCTTCAATTTTAAGTTCCTTGAGCAACTGTTTTAACCAAACAAGTTCACATGTTGTCATCGCCATGGCTCTATACTCTGCCTCGGCGCTTGATCTTGCAACTATATTTTGTTTCTTACTTTTCCAAGATATAAGGTTTCCTCCAACAAGTACACAATACTCAGAGGTGGATCGTCTATCAATTGGTGATCCTGTCCAATCAGCATCGGAGTATCCAACTATCTGAGTATGTCTTTTATCTTCATACACTAAACCTTTTTCCTGGAGCACATTTGATGTATCTCAAAATCCGGATAACAGCATTCATGTGTTTCTGACAAGGGGAATTTAGGAACTGACTTACCACACTAACTGCAAAAAAAATGTCTGGACAAGTGACTGTGAGATAATCCAACTTTCCAACCAATCTTCTATACCTTCTCAAGTCTGATAGAGGCTCCCCCTGATTGGATAGTAGTTTGACACTTGGATCCATAGGAGTATCAGCTGGTTTAGCGTTCAACAAACTTGTTTCTTCTAAAATATTCATAGTATATTTCTGCTGAGAAATCACCAAACCATCTTTAGATTGGGCTACCTCTATACCCAAGAAATACTGGAGTTTACCAAGATCTTTTGTCTGAAATTGATTAGAGAGATGTTGTTTCAACTGGAGTATTCCCTGCTCATCACTATCAATTATGACAATATCATCTACATACACAATAAGATAAATACACCCCTGGACTAAGTGACGATAAAAGACAGAATAGTCAGCTTCACTACGGACCATACCAAATTGTTGTGCTACAGTGCTGAATCTGCCAAACCAAGCTCTCAAATTATTTAAGACCGTAAAGAGACATGTGTAACCTACAAACCATATTCAATGACTCCCCTAAGCAACAAACCCAGGTGGTTGCTCCATATATACTTCCTCTTCAAGATCACCATGTAAAAATACATTTTTGATGTCAAGTTGATGAAGAGGCCAATGTCGAATGGCTGTAATGGCTAGAAGAAGTCTAACAGATGCCATCTTGGCTACAGGCGAGAAGGTATCACTGTAATCCAATCCAAAAATCTGAGTGTATCCTTTGGCTACCAAGCGAGCTTTAGATCAATCTTACCATCTGGACCAACTTTCACTATATAAAGCCAACGACAACCTACTAAAGATTTCCCAGGGGGTAGAGAAACCAATTCCCAGGTACCACTGCTTTGAAGAGCACACATTTCATCAATCATTGATTGCCTCCACTCAGGGTGAGATAATGCTTCACCTGGAGCGTTAGGAATAGAAACAGAAGACAAAGAAGACAAACAAGTATACTACAAAGGGGAAAGACGATGATAACATAAATCAATATAATGTGGAGAAGGATTTCATGTTTGACGTATACCTTTTCGAAGGACAATTGAAAGATCGAAATCAGGTTGCAGGATCGAATTCGGTGATGGCGAGAGCGTCGGAGGAGAGTGTGCAATGACCTCAGGGACATGTACGACCTCAGGGACAGGTACGACAGACGTTGGTTGATGACACTGAAATGTTTGAAGTGGACGAGAAGTCGGGGGGTTAACCGTATGGTTATCTAGTGGGCCAAGTTCCCTAGAATGATGGGGAATAATGACATATGGGACTTCCGGAAGAGGTGCGGGAGTACTCTCCTGAAAGGGTTCCGGAGTTACTTGGCTGGACTCGAAATATGAAACAGACTCGAAGAAGGTGACATCGGACGACATGAGGTATCGTTGTAGGGTATGTGAATAGCAACGATAACCCTTTTGGGATCGATGATAACCAAGAAAAACACACTTTAGTGAACGAGCTGATAGTTTATCAAGACCAGGAGAGAGATTGTGTACAAAACATGTAGACCCGAAGACTCAGGAAGAAATTGGGTGAAGGGGGGAATGGGGAAAAAGGATTGAATGAGGGATTTTATTGTTAAGGACAGATGATGGCATGCGATTTATAAGGTAACATGTCGTTAACACAGCGTCTCCCCAAAACCGAAGTGGAACATTACCATGAAGAAGTAAGGTCCGAGTGGTTTCTACAAGATGCTGATTTTTGCGTTCGGATATCCCGTTTTGTTGAGGTGTATGAGGACAAGATGTTTGGTGGAGAATACCGTTACTGGACATAAAAGTTTGAAATTGTTAGGATAAATATTCACGGACATTATCACTTCTTAAGGTACGAACAAACACACCAAACTGAGTTTTTATTTCTTTATGAAATTTTTCAAAAATAGAAAATAATTCTAATTTATTTTTCATTAAAAATAATCACGTGCAACGTGAAAAATCATCAATAAAGGTGACAAAATACCTAGACTCAAGAGTAGAGATAGTACGTGACGGACCCCAAACATCAGAGTGAATTAAAGCAAAAGGGAACGAAGCTCGTTTATTTACTAGATTGGGAAATTGACTGCGAGTGTGTTTCCCTAACTGACACGACTCACAATGTAAATTAGATACTTTCGATAAACTTGACACCAACTTCTGTAATTTAGGAAGACTAGGATGACCTAACTGAGCATGGATTATGAGTAGAGAATCTTTGGCTGAGCATGTCTGAGATGACACTGAGAGGTAATAAAGGCCTTGAGACTCACATACGACGTCAATTGTCCGTCCCGAACTCCGATCCTGCAGGGTGACATTACTATTAGTGAAAGTGACAATACAATCAAGAGAACGAGTTAAAACGACTGGCTGAAAGTAAATTAAATGGACAATTAGGTACATAGATAACAGAAGTAACAGAGAGAGAAGGTAGAATTTGAACAGTACCAATTCCTTCGGATTGGGTTTGAGAATCATTGGTAAAAGTTATTGTAGGTAAGAAACCAGAGGTAGATAGGGAAGAGAAAAGATTTTTATTACCAGTAACATGATCAGACGCACCAGAATCAAGGACCCAAGGTCCAAGAGAAGATGATTGAGAGAAGCAAACAGATGAATTACCAGTGTGTGCAACTGAAACAGTAGAATCTGAGTTCTGATAAGTCTTATACCACTTGAGGAAATCATCGTAGTTTGACGTAAAGTTCTGAGGAGTAGCCATGAGTATCGGATTTGGAAAATTTGCACAGTGGCGAATGCGGTGGTGTTAAAATCGTCATAATCGGTCGGATCGAAGGAGGCGCTTTTGCCGGTAGGGTTAGTTTGTCGGAAGGTCTCCGGAATTAGTAGCGGCGGATGGCGGCAGCAACCCGGTGGTTACCAGAGGAATTTTAGAAAGTGAGAGGCAAACCAGAATAATAACACAGTTTGCAAAAAAAAGTTTGTCACCATAAGACAGTGGGTCAACCGAGTAAAACACGGCGAAGAATTGTCTCTTAGTAGGCTCTAGATACCATATTAAATTAGAAGAGACTAAGAGACATTTAGGTTAAACCGTGTGTTTTGAAAAACACTACGGAGACTTTATTATATATAGAAAGATTACAACTAATGTTATGATATAGTCGATGTGGGACTATTTTACATACAAATATTCTTAACACTATATATATATATATATATATATATATATATATATATATATATATATATATATATATATATATATATATATATATATATATATATATATATATATATATATCAACAACCACAAATATGCATCCCCGACCCTATTACCACAATGACTTTAGGTTTTATAAATAAACAAAGCTTTATAATTTTTTTCTTCAGGCAAGTTATTTTAGTTTCAAAGCATTTTAACTTACTGTATTCTACAATAGTATGTCAGTACTGATGGCTTGCCACATTCAAAATCCATGCAACCATCAAATCATAGTTGGACATTGACCAACTAAAACTAGCACTATCTACCGGAAACTAAGATAATAGGCTTACCAATTTCCTTCTAATATTGAACTACTACCCTCCTTTATTTCCTCCGTAGCAAATTCTTCAAGTATAGCACGTTGCCGTTCATTGATTGTACTAAAACAAGAAGAGTGAGCCAAAAGTAAATCAATGCAAATGATGATTAGCGGTGACCCAGCTCATACTTGAGTATAAAGAAAAAATATTTGAACTAATACAAATATCAATTTCTTATCGCACAAAAAACATCAACTGGATGCAAATTTCAATTTTATTTTTTTGAAAAATGTAAATATATGCAGCAAGTTGTGTTTTCATAGAAGTGATCTGGCTCATACTTGTGTTTTGATAGTTTGATTTATGAATCTTATATGGATTTTGTTGTATTATTGAGTTATTTGTTTGATTTATTTTTGCAGTTATTATTTATATAATTAGTTTAAAAAATAATTAAATAGAGGTCATCCCACTATCCGCTGTCTCATTTTTGGAGTCGGCCGCTCTGCTCTGCTATCTGGGATTGATAACTCTGGCAGCAACCCTCACAAGCCTAGTAGCCAACAATGACTAAACAACCATAAACAGTAATATTTATGAAATTGTAGAACGGTATTAAAAGGCGCCAAAAATGTGCAGCACTGCTTGACCAATTACTAAATATCCTTTTTCCGTTTATATTTATGGCTAATGTTAATTGCAGACAACCAACAGGAAAACAGGGGGTCGAAAATAAGTAACCATTTTCTTGATGTCATAATGTCATCATTGTCAACCAACATTTATAAAAAGTTAAGATGAAAGGAACATTAAAGTTGAAAAGTCTCACATTCGATGAGATATAACTTGAATATGTGTGTATAAGCGGTGGATAGTCCTCACTTTGTAAGGGTTGAGTTAATCCCAACCCAAATTCTAAAAATGATATAAGACCTTGTCTAAGATGGGTCATTCACTATCTGGTCACGCATTAGATGTTTAGTCTTGAGCATGAGGAGGGTGTTGAAAAATCCCATAATGGATAAGATATGGCCTAATCATGTGTTTATAAGTGGTAAGTAGGTCTCACCTTCAAGCTGCTTTTACAAAGATTGAGTTAGGCACAACCTAAATTCTAAGAATAAGTGCATTTATTTGCTTCTTTACGGGATAAATAACAAATTCCTTTAAAGATATTAGGTTATAAGTAAAAAAAACAGTGGTTGTTGAAGTTATAGGATTAAACATTAAGGTTTAGACTACTTAAATGAAATACTCAAGAATAACAAAATTGATATTGATGCGAAAAAGATAGGATGGATGTTATTAGCAAAAGATAAAATATTGAACATCATTTGGATGTTATTAGCAAAAGATAAAATACTGATCATTTATAAAAATATCATACCTCTAACTAATACATCGGAAAACAAATCATGATATACAACAAAAAATAAACCAGTCTAAGCAATAATCTAAAATACCTGACCAAATTTATAACAAAATTTATAAAGTAACAAGATATGTATTAATTTCTACAAAGTTAACAAAAGAAGAACTTACATGGGAAAGTTTACACGGAAACGCACATATTGATCCCCATGAAATGCAAAATACCCATGCTTTGGCAGTCCTGCATCAACCAAAGTAAATATGCTTATCCAGTATGATGAGAGAAATAGACGATAAACTTGTGCAAAATATCATGATAAAGGGTTCTCCTTTTGACCTTTGCCTCTAAATGCTAGCAGCTGTCCTGGTTGAACACCCTTAGGTATCTGAGAAATAATAATTGCCCAAAATCAGATAAAATAGGTCAACACAAGCAATCATGCCAAAAAAAAACTATAGGAAACTTCAAACAACTACGCAGGAGACTAGAAAAACGTAAGAGAATATGAGAGAAATTTTTGTAATGCTTGAGTGATTTGCACTCAACAGATCCTCTATATTTTATACACTCTTAGTAGTAAATATAATTTTCATTTATAAGGAAATTAATGATATTTATTGAATTAGGAGAGACTAAGAGACATTGAGGTTAAACCGTGTGTTTTGAAAGCACTACGGAGACTTTATTATATATAGAGAGACTAACACGATATAATCGATGTGAGACTATTCTACATACAAATATTCTTAACATTATATATTTACAAATATCAACACTCCCCCTCAAGCTGGAGCATATAAGTCAAATGCACCAAACTTGCCACATATATAATTAGTTTTGGGGCTTCGTAGAGATTTAGTAAACATATCTGCCAATTGATCATTAGAGTTGACAAAGCTTGTGACGATGTCGTTAGATTCCATCTTCTCTCTGACAAAGTGACAGTCTATCTCAATATGTTTGGTCATCTCATGGAAGACTGGATTTGAAGCAATGTGCAATGCAGCTTTATTATCACATACAAGTGTCATTGGTCTTGCTTCTTCAATTTTAAGTTCTTTAAACAACTGTTTTAACCAAATGAGTTCACATGTTGTCATTGCCATGGCCATATACTCTGCCTCGGCGCTTGATATTGCAACTACATTTTGTTTCTTACTTTTCCAGGATATAAAGTTTCCTTCAACACGTACACAATACCCAGATGTGGATCGTCTATCAATTGGTGACCCTGTCCAATCAGCATCAGAGTATCCAATTATTTGAGTATGTCCTTTATCTTCATACACTAAACCTTTTCCTGGAGCACATTTGATGTATCTTGGAATCCGGATAACAGCATCCATGTGTTCCTGACAAGGGGAATTTAAGAACTGACTTACCACACTGACTGCAAAAGAAATGTCTGGACGAGTGACTGTGAGATAATTCAACTTTCCAACCAATCTCCTATACCTTCCCGAGTCTGATAGAGGCTCCCCCTGATTAGGTAGTAGTTTGACACTTGGATCCATAGGAGTATCAACTGGTTTAGCATTCAACAAACATGTTTCTTCCAAAATATCCATAGCATATTTTCGCTGAGAAATCACCAAACCATCTTTAGATTGGGCTACCTCAATACCCAAGAAATATCGGAGTTTACCAAGATCCTTTGTCTGAAATTGATTCGAAAGATGTTGTTTCAACTGGAGTATTCCCAACCCATCACTATCAGTTATGACAATATCATCTACATACACAATAAGATAAATACACCCTTAGGCTGAGTGACGATAAAAGACAGAATGGTCAGCTTCACTGCGGACCATACCAAATTGTTGTACTACAGTGCTGAATCTGGCAAACCAAGCTCTCGGAGATTGCTTAAGACCATAAAGAGACTTGTATAGCCTACAAACCATATTCGATGACTCCCCCTGAGCAACAAACCCAGGTGGTTGCTCCATATATACTTCCTCTTCAAGATCACCATGTAAAAATGCATTTTTGATGTCAAGTTGATGAAGAAGCCAATGTCAAATGGCTGCAATGGCTAGAAGAAGTCTAACAGATGTCATCTTGGCTACAGTCGAGAAGATATCACTATAATCCAACCCAAAAATTTGAGTGTATCCCTTAGCTACCAAGCGAGCTTTAAAACGATCAATGTTATCATCTGGACCAACCTTCACTGTATAAAGCCAACGACAACCTACTAAAGATTTTCTAGTGGGTAGAGGAACCAATTCCCAAGTACCACTGTTTTGAAGAGCACACATTTCATCAATCATTGCTTGCCTCCACTCAGGGTGAGATAATGCTTCACCTGGAGATTTAGGAATAGAAACAGAAGACAAAGAGGACAAACAAGTATACTGCAAAAGGAAAAGACGATGATAACATAAACCAATATAATGTGGAGAAGGATTTCGTGTTTGACGGAAGAAAAAAATTGTGGGCAGTGCGGGCGGAGGTCACTGGAAAAAAAAAGGTGAGGCAAACTGGAATGATAACACGGTTTGCAGAAGAAAATTTCTCATCGAAAGACAGTAGATCAACCGAGTAAAGCACAGCGAAGAATTGCCTCTTAGAAGGCTCTAGATACCATATTGAATTAGGAGAGACTAAGAGAGTTTAAGTTAAACCGTATGTTTTGAAAACACTACGGAGACTTTATTATATATAGAGAGATTACAACTAATTACATGATATAATCAATGTGGGACTATTCTACGTACGAATATTCTTAACATTATATATTTACATCTTACATGCATATGATACTACCTAATACCTAAACTAAATAAAGGTTTAGCAAGATAAACTATGATATTCATTTGTGAGAATCATGTTGTTGCACAATTACTCCAATTCAATTATTTGCGAAAGACAAAACGTAACCATTTCATTCATGAGAAGATTCTCCCGAGAAAAATCACTGAGCCAGTGAATTTTAAGGATCAACTAGCAATTATTTCACTTAAGTGCTTTTGGATTTGAGGTTAGCATTCTGCATTCATACAGAACAAAAGTTGGATGCATATGACATAAGTGCCATCTTGAGAGAAAGTACAGGTATACCTAGAAAATAGCTCAGACCAATATAAAGATACGACACAGATTATGTTCTTTCTGCATTTAGCTTAGTCTATCAATAAAACTAAGAATTTAATTGTGTTCCAAGTCACTCACATCAGAAAAAAAATTTGATTCAAGTGAAAGGAAATGACTATGCTAATCAAGTGTGTGATTCAAACTTTTCTGCACAATTTAAGGTAATTAAAGAGAAGAAGAAATTGAAAATGTAAATCTTGTCTTACATTTATTTGCATCTTCCCTGATAAAGTAGGCACCTCAACTTTGCCACCAAGAATAGCCTGGAAGAAATTAAAACTTTGTACTTTTAGTAACACCAATATAGAGTTAAGTACAATGTCAAGGGGATCCACGTGATAGAACCGGTTCAGAATATAGAAGAAATCGGTGTTTGTTGATAAAAACCTATTACAGTCAAGGTATTTGAGAGTCCTCGTGCTCTCCTACTTTAAATCTCTTAGGTTATATTTGGGAGTTTGGAGGGGAAGGGAGGCGAGGACTTTGAAAATTAAGAAGGATTGAATGAAAATAGTAGAAAGATTTTGCTTAGAAGGGTTTTGGAGAGTTTGTTTTTCTTCATAACACCAAAAAACCCCTAATTTGGGGGAACTCAATTTGTATTGAAGGAGGATTTTGGAGGGTTTTGGGGGGCTTAATCAATTTGTTCAAATATAATTTTTGTTGTTATAGTATTTCAAAAACTAAAAATACATTAATGATAAATATTATTTTATTATTCTAAACAAAATCTTTTTTTCAAAAAATGTTATAAATTTCTTTATATATTTAAAAAAAAATTATTTTTGGAAGCCATCCCTTCCCCTTTCTTCCAAACTCCCAAACATAACCTTAGAAATTCAAAGAACTCAATTAGTCCCTCCTTCTACTATTTATAGTGTTTTACCTCCCAAGCCTAACTATCTGACTTACTAACTAGCTCGCTAAATAATTAAGAGGTTACCAATGAACAAGCAAAATCACAAAAGAAGGAATTCAACATAAGAGTAACTAAGTTTGTCTCCCTTGCATGTTAGTAAGGTTGTTGAAGGGTGTATTATTAGGATATAGAATAATATATATTAGAGGACCTAAAGTAGTTAAGAGTTGCTATATAAGTTAGTTTGTTAATTAGTTGAGGTTATTATATAAGTTAGTAAGTTTGTTAACTGGATAAGTTTGTTAACTGGATGAGTTTGTTATAATGTGTATAAATAAGTGGGCATAAAGGGTGGAGAGGATCTTTGAAGATTTGTAATTGTGAATAGAGTATTCTCTATTGTGTAGGGGAAACCCTTGGAGGAGAGATTCTCTCCCATTCTATCGTATTTCTTAAATAAAGTGTTTTTTATTTGCAATCCAATTATTGGATTCCTAACTGTGGGAAGAACATCAAGGATGCTTAGATCTTTTCCAGTGCTTAATGAGACGATAGACGGAAAGTACCAAGAGCTGTTGAGGTGAAGAGCCACAAGAGTAAGAGAAACCATTAAAATATACTTAGCTCTGACCTGTGTAAAGCTAATATTAGATTCCACATAGATATCTGCACCATCCCTCTCAAAGACTGGATCCTCAACCACCTATTTCAACAAAGAAGAAAAAAGTATGCTCTAGTAAGAGTAAGTATAGCACTTAAAAAACAAAGATATTATACAAGTAGAGCAGAAAACCTATTCCAGTTTTACACACTAGCATATCATCTACATAGGAACAGAAATATGCAATGAGATATACTACCATGTACTAAAAGTGGTCTACGTGCACATGAACAATATGGATCTTATATACTAACAATAAATGAGACAGTTCTCAGTCAAAAATATGGAGAAGGAAACAACATTAATTTGAGAAGTAAAACTGTTCACCTTTGCATGCCAAACTATAAGAGTGTGTTGAACAGCAATAATTACATGATCAAGGAATCAAAAAAATGAAACACTTCTATGATGTTGTAATTACATGTCCCAAACTAAGCAATAGTAAATTATCTATGGATCAAGGGAACGGGCTGATCAACTTTTCTTGAATACACTAGAGGGAAAAATAAAATTTGGACCCCTCATTAAGCTAATTTATATATTGATAACTTTAATTGAGGGAAGGATTGGGAAAAGAAGACACCCATGAAGGTGAGAATGGATTTTATATCACTGCCACCGAACCATACTTACAAATAACTCGTCAGAATTTGCCAAACACTTTTTCTAGAGAATACCTAGGAATAAGATTCCTATCATTATCTACCTGGGAAAGTTGCAAGAATTGGCCCGAGCTTGCAAGAATAATTGAGTGCACTGTATGAGTCTAATGTGTTTAATAATGCGAAGTTTCGGTGAAACTAATAAAGAATCAAAAGCCAACAGGTATGCACGAGCACGAGTATGACAGCAAATATTTAGAAGAAGAAAAAAGGAAAAACTATGCCTTTATTTTTATGTATAAACTTCCATGTCGACCACCATTTCCAGCAGCATTCCCACCTTCTGGCACATGGATGGTATCTCCTGAATCAACACCTACCAGTTCATTGAAAACTATGATAAGATTTAAAAGAAAATTTTCATCTTTTTTCTAATAAAGCATAAAAAAATGTATGGCAGATGGTCAACCAAATCTTGGCAGGATAGTTCTGCTGCTGCATTAGTAAAACTTCCCTTTCCAAAAAGATTCTATTCTAAATTATAATGATTGACACCTTAATGATAATGGCCAAAGGGTATTCCCATTTCAATTAAGAAGAATAAAAAAGTAGGTCGAGTCGATATCTGGAGGTAAAGAATTTCCAATATGAATAAGTAGCTGCCACAACAATAATTAACATTTATTCCACTCTGATCAGATATATTAATGAGCTGCCAAGGTATAGTTAGAGGTAATTTTATGCTTGCGTTATAAACCAACCTGATGGTATAGTAACTTTAACCTCTTTAATCCCTTCAATAACCCCGGATCCTCCACATGACAAACAAAACTCCTGTAGAAAATAGATACACGCCATATTTATACAGAGCAACCAACCTCAAGAGTAATTGATGTGAAATTTATGGAGGACCTTAATAACGCGCCCAGCTCCTTTACAAGTAATGCATGTTGATGTAAATGGTGGGATTGTAACCTGAAAGAAAATCATGGTAACAAGAAAAAAGGGAAGTATTAATACTCAAAAACTCCAATACAACAAAAAGAAACCATCATATGCATGAATCGGACCTACTTATATAACATTTCAATGCACTTACTCGACCTAAGCCCCTGCATGTTGGACAAACTGTTGGGGTAGCATTTTTTGGATATCCCTGTCCATCTGGTTTGATAAAAAGAAAATTAATAGCATAAAAAGGATAACCATTAGGCCAAGGGAAACAACAAATGTTTTGCTTCACTTCACAGCAGACAACACTTTATATATCCAGTGGCACATTCATTTAATTATTTACCCAAAAGGCCAAACCAGTTCCACAGCTTATGGAAATTCTTGTAACATCCACAATTTAGCATGCAATAAATGAAAATATTATGGAACCCCTCTCCAATTAGGAGTAGATGAGGGGGAAGAAAGAAAAGCTTCTCTAACGTAATGCAGCCGTAGCTTAGGCCTAGGTTCTACCATTCACAAATAGTTTCATAAGATTACTGCTGGTTTCTAATCAGCCTGCCTTTTTCTATTTTGATACACAGATAGGTAACGGTAAAACTTCACCAAAATAAAAATTGCCTAAAGCTCTAATAAAACAAGATTTTACATTAGCTTTCGCAACCAAAATATGCAGACACTATGTACCATTTCCTAGCACTAATAAAACATGTACTTTCAATATCTATAAATTTCTCCCCAGGACTGTCACAATTCCAGAACATATTATCTTTACTCACAGCAATAATCACAGGGAACTGACGCATCAAATGACACATGTTTGGTGCATCCTCTCGCGGCTTCTGAGAAAGTAAGTGATAACTCCACCTATTGGCAACGTAATAAACAAATGGTTAAGTTTGAAAAAGTAGGAACCCAATTCAAACAACTATGGAGAAACAAGGGTTAAGTTGACCTCTATATTTGGCGAGAACTGAGTTGTTGCTTCTTCAAATATCTGTCAAGACAAAAAAATATTATGAGATTTCTATGCAATATACGTAAGTAAAGAATAAAATATGAGAAAAAATTTACCTCAGAAAATACATTATGAAATGAATCAGAGAAATGAGTACGATAGGCATTTCTAAACCTTTCGGCATCATCATAATTGTGGTTACTATATTTCATATTCTCTGAACAATAAGCACGCATCTTCAATTGAAAAAGTAGTTCATGAAAGAAAATGATGAAAACATATTAGTTAATTTTACATCCGAAATAGGAATGAAGGAAGGCTATGAATTACAGAAATTTTAAATGGCCTTGATCTACCTTGTCATACTCTGCCCTCTTTTTAGAGTCTCTCAATGTCTGAAATTATATGAAAAGAATAAGTGAAAACACATAACTAAAAAGGCAAGTGAAAATATTGTTGTTAGTTAGGTTAGACAATAACCAAGGGAGCGCTATAAATGAATGAAATGTGAAGAAAAAGATACCTCATAAGCTTCTCTTATATCTTGAAACTTCCTCTTTGCCGATGGACTATTCTTATTTGCATCTGGATGGTACTTTTTAGCAAGCTGCAAAAGGGCAGAAAAGTGTGATAATGCAGTATACACTGAAGGAAGGCCTTTGATTTTCATATAGTAATGTCAAGGAGTATGATGACAGAAAATATTAAGATTGCAAAACAAAATGCTTAGTCTTGGACTGCTGTTTTTAGCATGATCTAAGCTTTGAGAACAGTTTTTGGATTAAAATTAAATTGCAAAATAATAAGACTTCTACGAGCCATAGAGTACTCCTTCATTATTATTGCTAACTCTCTGCATATTAGGATTTAGTTATTTTTTATTAATCTAATTGAAACTATCTCCCCTCAATATTGTTTACACATCACAGCACTCTTAAAGTATTCATAGTTGTATTACTGTGTACATGAAATTTCAAAATCTAAAATTTAGAGTAAGTTTGACCAGCAAGAACCTAGATAAATACTAATTGTACATAAAAATGTAAGTCACTGAGAACAAGGGTTAGCTAGGTAAAGGCAAAAACGTGAGCAGTAACACTAATTATATGCGAGGTTACTAGAAGAGTGAAAATGTAGAACCGAAAATGAGAATGACTACGTTTTGACTACTGGTCACAAAGGTTTTCATTCGAGTTATCAATAGTGAACCAAACTAGTGGAGTGGAAGGTGACTATTACAGCATCCTCCACAACGCCGTGTTTCGGTGTAGCGGGCATTGCACCAGCTTTCTGGTGGAAATAACTGGAAAATCGCAGCATTATTAAGCCTCTCCTGGGTAATTTAGGGATTTCAGCCTTAAAACATACCAGAACATTAGTGGAGATTTTAGGGGTTTGCTTATGTGACTCTCTAGTGTTTCCCTATATCTCTCTTGTGCTCTCTAGCAATGTTCTCTCTGGGGCTATTGTGCATCTCCAGGATTCCCTCTGCAATTCTCTCATCTCTCTATTCATCCCTGGAGATTTCAGTTTTATATCTCTGCATCTCTAAAGATTCTTGCCCACAACCTGCTGCCATCTTCAAGACAGATTGCTTCTTTCATTCCTTTTTTATCCCTTCTCACCGGCAAGTCTCAGTTCTATTTAAGACACTGATCAATCAATAAAGTGTGTCTCTCAATTTGAGAATTTTTTATATTTTTTTAGAATTTAAATGTATATATAGTTTACAATGTATACAGGATTTCAGAATAACCGTCATTCTGTTGTCCTATCATATTATGTTTTTTAAGGGTCAGCCCCTCCAGATCGCTATTTAGAATTGATAACATTGGTTTTCCTCATAATAATAATGTGGAAATTGAAGTAAACATTAGTCATAATTTTCCTAGGGTTCAATTAAAAAAAACTACAATAAACCATAAATAACATTGAAATCCATTATTTTCTCACACGAAAAGATGAACACAGTCACGCAACTGTATTTGACATGAATCGTACATATTTATCCTTTATTTATTCCAATTCCAATAGTAAAAACTAAAATGTATACATATTATCAGTTTTATGTGAGAGTGAAAGAAGTAAACCATTGCCATTAAATCAAACCATATAGGTGCATAACTTTTTAAGTGGTCATGTAATAATAGTGTATAAATAGTGCTCAATCAAAACAAAACAAATAAAACTTCCTTAGCATAAGGGTTACACTTGGTTGAGTAACACTATTGTACTTAGTCAATTGTCACTAGAAAAGATTCAACAACAACCAAGCTTTATCCCACTAAGTGGACTCGGCTATATGGATCAACTTCCGCCACAATGTTCTATTCATAACCATGCTTCTCTCCAAATTGTTAATTTCTAGACCTTTCTTAATAGCTTCTCTTATAATTTTTCTAGGTCTTCCTCTACCTCTAACTTTTTGACTCCTCTCCATCTGATCTACTCTCCGTACTACAAAATCTACAGGTATTCTCTCTACATGCTCAAACTACCTAAATCTATTTTTCACCATCTTTTCTACTATAGGTGTTACCCCAATATAGTCAATAGTCTCTCTAGAATAGATCAACCAACTTTTTTCATTGATATCACTCCTACCAAAATCCAAGCAATAGAAATGCAATCTCAACTCTCCAATTAAGTGTTCAAGAGGAAAACTATAAATCATCTCCATTCCCCAAATGTTACAACGTTTCCAATCAACTCCATCATTACTCTACTCTAACTAACAAGCATAATTCTAATCAATCAATCCTACAAATCAAGAAATTTCCAACAATCACTCACCACGCGAAACGCCTTCTTTATCTCATCCTGACTAGCATTTTCAGAAACACCAAGCACCTGATAATAGTTCTGTTCCGCAGTAGAAGAATAAGCTGCTAAAACAACACAAGTATTAGCTAAAAAAAGTATATCAAAACACTATTGATCTATGTAGCATCAGACTCCTCTGAAAAAATGTGTGTCCATATCGAACAGCTGACAATTGTAATTACTTTAATTTATTTATTTTTTAAAATTATTATTGGTGTCGCCGTGAATATATGTATATACTGTGTCTGAGTGTCTGTGCTTCAGAGCTATTGATAACTAACTATAAACAAGTTGATTCATGGTTTACTACAAACCTGTAGCTTGACCATAACGATATCCCAGTGGAACCGTCCGATTTCGAAACTCCTCATTTTTCGTATCAAAACCGCAACCGAGTAAAGCTAATAAACACAGAAAAATCAATTTAATTAAATTAAATTAAACAACGAAAAAAAAATCAGAAAAGAAATCAGCTAGAACTATAACGCACTTCGTGAAAGCAACAACGATTGATGAGAGGAGAAGAATTTCCGGAACGAATCTCGAGATTCTGAAGCAAGGGACGAGAGAAAATGGCGCCGATACTGCATTGAAAAAATCGATGAAATGAGAAAAAAGTGTGAAAAGGAGGAACGATTGAAATTGGCTTTGAATGGTTTTGGGATATTTGATCGATTACTCACCGGGGATAATAACCTGAGTCTTCTCATTGTTGGAAAGTGGTTGTGGATGTAATGATGTAGTTGTGAGATTGAGATGAAGTTTATGTATTTCCGTTTAGTTTGCGGTTTCCGGTGAGGATGAACTCAGATCTTTGGGTTCGGGGTTTAAGAACGATGGGTTTGGGTTTTAGGGGGGCTATGATGGTTCAAGGTAAACGGCGTGTGATGGGGGTCGTTTAGCGGTCGTGTTCGATACTCGCGATATATTTTATGTGAGCAGCGGTAAAGAAGATTCTCATTGCACGTCGTGTTTTTTAAGTATTTTATTTTATATATTAAAGTTGTTAAAACAGTTTTTAGAGCTAAAATTAAATTTTTTTTTAGTAATTGTATTTTTTTTTATTGATAATTTATTTAATATTAATTTTTTTTCTATCAACCTTAAATTTCTTCCATTAATTTTTATGTTTATTTAATAAAAATTAATTTTTTTCATTAATTTTAAGTTTTTTCCATTAATTTCTATGTTTATTTAATTATTATTTTAGTAATATTTTTATATTCTTTTTAATTTTAATTATAAAATTGTGTACTTTTATAACTTTTCTTCTTCCATTTTTTTTAAATAATCTGATAATATTTTATAAAAAAATAATTATTTGTTCTCTAAAATATATATTATGTTGCATTAATAATTATTATTATAATTAGATTTTACTTCTAGATCAATGTTTTTATAAAAAATTATTCTATAATGGCTCGATATCTATTAATGATTGAAACTAAAATATTATAATATTAAATAATAAAAACAAAGTAAGAATAATAAAAATAACAAAATATTTAAATAGTTTAGTCTATCATATTTTAGAACTCAACGTTTTCTAAATATTTTTACGAAAATATGATCCTTTAAATAATAATAAATTAATATTAAATTAAAATTACTAATAAATTTCACAAATTTCATTTATGTGTTAGAATATAATTTGATTCTACATCTTTATAAGAGTTTTGATGATAACAAACATATGATATATATATATATATATATATATATATATATATATATATATATATATATATATATATATATATATATATATATATATATATATATATATATATATATATATATATATATATATATATATATATATATATATATATATATATATATATATATACTCTCTAATAAAATATTTTAATATGCAGAGAAGTTCTGATGTAAGAAGCATAGAAGATGAGAAAAGATCCGCTAAAACATAGTTTTGCTCTACATCCCTGGAAGTTCTGATATAAGAAAATGAGAGAGTTTCATTTTGAAGATCTGTTCAGACACAACATATTTAGAAGCAAATATGTGTAATACGATAAATGAAGAAGTTCTATGTTACAACTTTTGAATGCACCAACGTTGTGAAACAAGAACTCTGATATTTTGATATATAAAGTTCTGGAAAGCAAAGGAGTCACAACGGTAACATTCATCTTCTGATGTGAGCGTGTGCTGAAACGTTATAGTTTATTCATGGCAAATCAAAAGTAACGGTTGAATCAAGACAGGATCTTCACTTTTGGAAAGAACATTAACTACACTTCATCAACCTTCCAAAAGCATCTTCGTATGTCTCTCATGCATTGCCGATTTAAAGAAGACGTGGAGAAGATATCAAAAAATAACTACTACGCACGAAAAAGCAAAAACATAATTATCCAGTTCTACCTTGTGCACTTTTGTGATATTGTTTTTGTTAGAAAACATATATGTACACGCCTTTCAATTATTACTTTGTAATTCTTTGAGAAAATTGGGTTGTGGCTTAGACTCAAGAAGACATTGACAGTTGTCATTGTATTTGTGTAATCAAGTTTGATTAGTGGATTAAGACATCGCTTGAGAGAGGAGAAATCACATTGGTGGGTGGACTGAAGTAGTTTGAGTTCAAATGAACCAGGATAACCAATGTGTCTTTTATTTTAAGTTTTAATCTCAATTCAACCCCCCTTCTTGTGTTTTTCCATTCTTCAATTGTTATTAGAGCGCCTGATTTTGAGTACAAGCACTTAACCGTGTCAGAAAAAGATCCAAGCAAGAAAAACACTATGGTGGTACCAAGTCAGATCAACAACAATGATTATCATGATGAGAAAGACAGAATCAGCAGCAGACCCCCAATATTTGACGGTGAAAAGTTTGATTACTGGAAAGACATAATCAGCAGTTTTTTTTCTAGCTCATGACGTTGATCTCTGGGATATGGTGACTGATGAGTACATTCATCCAGTTGACGAAAGCGGACAAAAGATTGACAGAAAAAGAATGACAGATCATCAAAAGAGGAAATTCAGAAATCATCACAAGGCCAGAACAATTCTCTTGAGTGTTATCTCGTACACAGAGTATGAGAAAATCACAAACAAAGAATCAACAAAACACATGTTTGACTTCTTGAGAATGGCGCATGAAGGCAACACGCAAGTCAAAGAAACCAAAGCTCTTGTTCTAATTCAGAAGTATGAAGCCTTCAAAATGGAAGAAGATGAAACCATTGAAACAATATTCTTAAGATTTCAAATTCTAGTTGTTGGGCTAAAAGTTCTGGATAAAGGATACTCAACTACTGATCATATAAAGAAAATCATCAGAAGTTTACCCAAGAAATGGAGACCCATGGTCACAGCTCTTAAATTGGCCAAAGATCTTAACAAAATCTCTCTCGAAGAACTTGTCAGCTCCCTGAGAAGTCATGAGATAGAGTTAGAAGAAGATGAGTCCCAGAAGCAAGGTAAGTCTTTAGCTCTTAAATCTAACAAAAAATATGAACCGGAAATTTTGCAGGCAAAAGAAGAAAACTCTGGTGGATCCTCTTCAGAAGAAGACGAACTGTCTCTTCTCTCCAGAAGAGTCAACCTGCTGTGGAAACACAGGAAGAGGAAGTTCAGAACTTCTAGAAGAACGGGAAATTATTCTGAACCATCTTCTGGATACAGAAAATCAAGTAACAGAGACATTGTCTGCTACAAATACAATGAACAAGGGCATTGCAAGAGCGACTGTCCAAATCTTCAAAAAGAAAAACCTAAAAATAAATTCTTTAAGGAAAAGAAGAAAAACCTCATGGCAACATGGGATGACTCAGACTCTTTTGAAGCTGAAACAAAATCAAAAGATAAAAGAGCCAACATAGCCTTAATGGCCAATGTATTAGATGACACTGGATCATCTGGATCAGAATCAGAATCATAGGCAGAAGAGATATTCTCTAACTTTTCTAGATCTCAACTACAAGAAAGTTTGTCATAAATTCTTGAAAGATATCAACAACTTCGAGTCATAAACAAGAACCTGAAAAAGGATATAGTTTCTGACTTTGAATAAACTAAGAAACTGAGATCAGAAAACTTTGAGCTTAAAGAATAAATTTCTAAACTAGAAAATAAATTACAAAATGCTCAGAAAGAAATTGTCTCAGAAGTTTCTAGTAACTCTAATAAGATCATAAAGGAATATGATCATAGCTTTCAATTTTTTTTTTGCTAAAAACATAGATAGAAGCAAGATGGCTTTAATGATCTATGGAGTTATCAGAAATGGTATAAAAGAAATAGGATACAAGGATAAAGTATCTCAACCTAAGAAAGATAAGGATATGTTCATAAAACACACACCTCTTTATTCTCACTTCACTTATGGGCACACACATGACATAAAATATACTAGTAAGGCATTTTCTGCTAAACCAAAATTCAAACAGAATTTTGGAAACTCTAACAACTATGGACCCAAAAAGATATGGGTACCAAAGGATAAAATCATCTATGTTGCAGATATTTTTAACAGCAAGGTTGAAACACCAGTTTTAACAACTAGACTCTGGATGCTCTCTACACATGATGGGAAGAAAGCATATGTTCCAAAGCCTGAAATTTAAATCTTGAGGATACGCAGGTTTCAGAGGCAATTAGAAAGGAAAGATTATTGGCTCTGGAACTATTGGTAACAGTACTGAGGATACAACATTAGAAGAATCTCAATCAAATACAGAAGATGATGTCACAAACATTACAGAAACACCTGAAGATCTCATCCAGAAAAGACAACTCAGAAGATCTGAATAATTGTTTTGCTTTTGCTCGTTGCTTCATCTTAATCTTCTGTTTTTCTCGTGTTGTTACTACTTTTTGATTCTTGACAAAAAGGGGGAGAATGTAATATATTTTGACTCCTTCTCAAAGCTCTATTTAGAAATCTTCCGGGAAGTATTTTTTTTCATCTGAGTATCCAATTCAGGGGGAGACTTTTATATTTTATGTTCTTTAAGTATTCTATCAAAATATAAAAGTTTTTGTCATCATCAAAAACGGGGAGATTGTTAGAACATAGTTTAGTTCTACATCCCTGTAAGAGTTCTAAAATATCTTTACGGAAATATTTTAAATATTTCTTTAATTTTCTTTGTTCAATTTTATTCTTCATTATTTCTCATCTTTAATTAATATTCCCTTTTATTTTTAATGCCAATTTGCCTCTTGCTTGTAAAAAAAAGTGATTTTTTTTCTTCTTATTTATTTAATTTTTAATTTTATTGTTGTTTGCTAATTTTTTATCATGGTTTTTTTTATGTACAAATTTTAATTGATTTTTTAGTAAAGAGATCTCATTTCTTATTTCTTCAATTCTTAATTTTATTGTTGTTTGTTAAATTTTTAATCATTTTTTTAATTACAAAATTTAAATTATCACAAATGGTATTTTTTGGTAAAGAAATTATTGAAGATGTTAAAATTAATTTTCTTTATTCTATTATTAAATATTTTATTAATAATTAATTAAATAAAAAAGGATAAAAATAGGACACGTAATTTTCTTCTTATTATTACTAAGTCATATTTTGTACAACTCCATTAACTCACTATTATTTATAATAATATTTTATAGGTTAAAATACACATTAATTAATAACACCTCAAAAAAAAAAGTCATAATCCACTAACCCACACTTTTCATACACTAGCAATACCCATTTTTTCCTTACTCAAGTTTA